GGTGAGCGACCATGTTTGTTTCGTTTTAAAGTGGGGAAACGTATTGTTAGTTTCTCAGGTAGCTCATCTGATGCTTTCCTTACCTTGCTTGTAGGTTACATACAGTGACAAGGTTGGCTACTTATTTTACTTCTAATTTCATTTGAATTAGCTTAGGCAGCGCTTATATTTTCTTTATAAATAAATTAACTTGCAAATTATGAGGGCAAGGCTTTTAAAGTTTAAATCTTCTGGCAAAGATAAAGTAAAGAAGATCCTGCAATTTATGGAAGTAAAGCAGAATAAAATCCAGCAAGATCAGTAATATGTCAATTAATTATATGCCACATTTCCATGTCAATATCTGTCTTTGGAGGATGCGTTTTTTAGCACCCCTAGTTCTCTCATGTTTATTCCAAATACAATTTATAATTTGAATCACGGGGCTATTTTTATCTCTATGGTTAAATATTTTCTCTAGTAGCAACTTTAACTGCTGTACTTTCCTGTCTTAAAAAGCAGAACTCTTCTAGTCTAGTAAAAAAAACTCATTAGTTGTTTGAACCCCTTAGGGGTTTTTAAAAACAAAAATGCCTGTCTTTTTTTGCGCTTTATGAAACAAAGTACCCTATATTTTGTGGATGTACAGCTACATTTCTCATGTAAGTTTGCGTAGTTTTAACACAAACATTTATTTTTCATATTGCAACAGTACAGTTAATGAGCAACCTGTACTTGTGTGCTTGTTTGTTCTGTCTAAAATGTTTATTTTGGAATAAAGAGGTTAAAGGTACACTATGCAACCGGTGTTGATTTTCCAGTGAGGCTCCCTCCAGAGGGCGAAAGTAAAAGTGCACTGTCGTAAATATGCACAGCTGTTCTCCTGGTTTCTCCGGCAAGCCATGCGCGGTTGTTTTGAGCTTAGCAGCGAATGACTAACGCTGCGTTCACACTGGACGTAGCTGGCGCGACAGAAGCAGCGAGTTTACATGCAAAGTCAATGGTTGACGCGCGTCAAGGCGCAGCAAAAGGTCCCGCTGCGCGTTTTGAGCACCAGGCGCAGCACGTCTGAGCAGCTGAAGCAGCGCGTCGGGTGCGTTTAACGCAGGGAGAGAGACACAGCGCTGATGATCACTCCTCTTAAACAGTTTATTGACGCCTAAATTAACTTAAAATGCAGAAATCTGCCGGCAGAATATGCAGTTTGGATTATTTAGATGAAAAACACCTACCAGCTGCCGCGGTGAACCGCTGCTGATGAAGGGATCCATACTGTTGGCGCCCCGCTGGTATGTGGGGGTCTGAGCGGCTCCGACAGAAAAAATATTGAAGGCAGGATAATAATCTGAATGAACTGACTGCACTGATTACGTTTTCAGGTGTATTTTCTCACTTAAACACATATTAAAACTACTTTATTCCCACTGGTCACAGCAAATATAGCTGCAAGGCAGAGAAAGGATAGTGAAGCTCCGCCCAACGCGCCTCAGACACAGCCGGAGCAGCAAAGCTGCTTCAGCCACGCGTCAGAACTAACTGGTACAAGCAGCAAAAAGGAAGCAGCAGACGCGATTTTGCTGCGTGAACGTAGCATAACTGCACAAAGATCGCCACTGTGCTAGCAACGAGAATGCTTTTAACTGGGGGCGTGTAGCAGTTCTCGCCGTAAAGCAAGACTGACTCTCACGAGACTTCTGAGCCTGTGGGTGCGGGTCGGTGCTCCTGCAGTTGCAAGTGCAGTATTTCCCCCACAGACCACCAGGGCCGCCGAGAATACCTTTGTTCAACCTGAAATGACTCATTTAATCATCCAAAACGTTATGGAACACATTAATTAACTGAAAAATGTTGCATAGTGTCCCTTTAACATGAAAAACATTTTTTGTCCGATTCATTGATTAATCGAAAAAATAATCGGCCGATTCATCGATTTTTAAAATAATCGTTAGTTGCAGCCCTAGTGGGCTGATTCTGGATGTCTGCTTGGCCAGGCTAAAACTTGATCATCAGGGAAACGTATAGAGGCTCATATACCGTCACATTCCATTCATTGAAATTGAATTAATCATCCTTAATAGTCCGGCTTTTTTTGTTTTTGTTTTTTTAAAGATAATTTTTTCGCCTCCAGTGGCCTTTATTTTGTTATTTTCAAAAGTATGGAGACTAAATTAGTCATTGTGATGACGTGTGCCATCTATCCTGCTGCACTACATTTCTGTAAATCCTGTACAGTTTTGGGCCCAAGATCAGGCCATGAACATTTAGAAGTTGTTTAATCATTTAACATCTTCCAACAATTGAAATAACCAAATGTTTGATTCATGTTTACATTTATGTAAAAAGATAACAAACCCCTTTCTATCACAGTCTGTGTGTATAAGTGTCCTTTGTCCATAAGGTGTAGATGTACAGCTGAGTCTTGTCAGGAGGAGGTAGCTCTCTTGTGTTGAGCTATGTGTCTGTGAAGAGATTGTTTGGTTTCTCCAACATAAAGATTAGAGCATTCCTCACTGCATTGAACTGCATACACCACTCTGCTGGTGACTGGGGGGGTGTCTTTAGGTTGAACTAGTCTATGTCTAAGGATATTCTTTGGTTTGAAATGTACTGGGATTTTGTGTTTGGAGAGAATCCTCTTGAGTTTTTCAGAGAATCCAGCAACGTATGGGATGGCAATGTTTTTGCGTTTAATCTCCTTAACGTTATGTTCTGCTTCGTGTCTTTTGGATTTGACAAACACCCTTTGGGTTTCCACAGGTTTGAGGAGTATCTTTGATGTTTTTCTGTTGTTTGTGCTGCCCTTCAGTTCTAGTAGGGATGTGCTCGGCCCGATGTTTTAAGATTCTGATGACAGAAAGTTTTGGTCTGTGTGGGTGCATTTCCTATACACTTCAATGTTGAGCGTACCATCTCCTTCTATGCTCACCAAACAGTCCAGAAAAGGTAGCTTGTTGTCATTGGCATCCTCTTTGGTGAACTTAAAGTTGTGGTCAACCGAGTTGATTTGTCCTGTAAAAGCTTCCACTTCTTTAGATGGATTTTGACAAATGTGTCATCCACATATCTAAACCAGTGGCGGAAGAGCTGGATGTGACGTCGGAGATGAAGAGCCAATTCTGCAGCTTTGCTGATGCCATCATCAACCTGTGCACGGACTCAGCAGTCTGCTCTGCCTGCATTTCTGCCTGGCAGAACATGATCCAGCCGAACATCTGGCTCCACCTATTCGGGCCTTACTTTAAGTCTGCGCTTGAAAAGCTGCACAAATTTGCAGAGGACTCGGTGATGCTTCGGGACCTGGTGCAGCCTCGGCCCCGGCTCCTGCTTTCCTCGCTCGTCTGGTTGGCGGGACCACCGTAACCAGTTAGAGGAGTTCAGGCGCTCCACGGTTCCTGGATTCTCCTGTTCTGCTCCGTCTCCAGACTCCTCTTCCAGGCAGCAGCCTGCGGCCCCAAGAGGCTGTCATCTGCTGAGAGGACAGAGGAGGCAGCCCAAGAAATTACATGCTGGGGGGAATATGTGTGATTCTGAATCTGTCAACTGTTTTGAAATAAAACACAAAAAATGCTCTGAGGGCAAGATTCCATCAGATTCTAGCCTTGCAGTCAGATCGGACGAGCTGACTGCAGTTTCATTCTCGCACCTTCTCCACACACAGTGAGCTGGTGGCCTCTAAACTTCTGTTTCAGAGGCACCAATTCCTCACGAGTCCTGAGTAGAGTGTCTCTCCCACTGCAGACGGGAAAACTCCTTGGCGGCCTGAGCACAGATAAGCTCTCTGTGCTCAGTCTAGGCTTACGCATGCAGCATGCAGCAGACTGATTTTTTTAGACATTGAATTCCTTACACTCAATTTTTATCTGGTAAAAATTCACCAGAAAAAAATTCAATTGCAAAAATTCAGCTGCAAAAGTGCTGACCTTTTGGTGAACACAAGCCAAAGCAATCTACACTTGATAGAGTCGAGCAGCTTCTAGCCAATGAAAGTAGCTCATTTGGTCACATGACACAATGGTTGGGGTTGAATGAGGATGTCTTTTTTTTTAAACAGATAGGATTAAAAACGTTAGCCTGACGTAGTCCTACTCAATTCTAGTCAGAATATGAGTCTGATACTGCTCCATAGAGCTGGGATTATGGGGCGTGTTTCGAACGAACCAGGAAAAAAAAAGGCCTCTGTACTCAATTGGATAGACCTACAACCAATAAGAGCAACGGAGTGCGTGACGTATGTTAAGCGAGGCATAGTTGTTGTCAACAAAAATCAAAGCGTGCAGTTGCACGCCTAGAATAAGAAGATGAGCCTTGATCGCGTTTCTCTGTTCCTCTTTTAAAATTAATTTGCTGTCGATATCTTCTAGAACAGACCTAATAGCAGAATCTACTCACCTCAACTCTCCGGCGGCGGCCATTGTTGTTGTCGCCCAAGCGCACTTTGGTCATGTGGTTGATTACGTTACTGTTGATCACCTGTCCATCATCGTATAAAGCCTGCCCTGGCAATTTGATTGGATCGCCAGAGAGTGGGCGATCATACTCGCGCTACTATGGAGCAATGCCAGACCGAACTTCCCGACCTCAAACCTTGTGGGCGGGACTAAGTTCGGAATGGCACCCAGGCTATAAAAACGTCAGTTAGCTTGTGGAAAAATCGAAAAGTTTTGAATGTTGTGAGGTGTCTATTTGGTCGTGAGTGGGAAGCAGACAGAACCGCTTTAAAAGCTATATGCAGTATACGGGATTAATAAGATCAGCAATAGACTTTGGTAGTGTGGTTTATGGTTCAGCAGCATTACTTCACTTAAAAAGTTAGAGCGTATACAGACACAAACTTTAAGATTCATGACAGAAAGAATATGAAAGTGGGGAAAATTTGAATGGCGGCTACTACTGCTACCACGAGAGAGAGAGAGAGAGAGAGAGAGAGAGAGAGAGAGAGAGCGAGAGAGAGAGAGAGAGGGAGAGAGAGAGAGAGAGAGGGAGAGAGAGACTTGGAAGAAGAAAAACACCTAGACAGAGAGTAGGATAATTATATTTTATTAAAATGTAAGTTTAAATTAATGTAAAAACAAACACCAAAAATAACACTGGGAACAGTCCCTGTGGGGGAAAAAATTTAACTCAGTAAACTTTGAATGCCACTGTAACATATTTAGACAGAGAGTGTGCGAGTGCCAATAAAAGCTCCTCATCTGCTTACTTAACGACTCATTTAACAAGTCTGAATCTAAGAGATTAAATCAGTTAAAGAAACTGACAGCTAGCTCCTTTTTCCTGTTGAGGTTTTCAGGTTATACATTTTAATTATTAATAGATGGTATGACATCATCATCCTATCAGTCGAACAACACATTAGCTCTACGATTCAGATTTGTTAAAACTTCTCTGCAGTTTCAGGACCACATGTGATTAGTGTAAAAGCACAAATGAGTTTTCCATGAATTCTGTGCTTTTAATGATGAATGAACGCTGAGTGCAAAAATAGGTTTTGCAATAGAAAAAAGTAGGATTGTCAACTTTGCTCAGACACAAACACTTTCTTTTTTAAAGCTTTAGGCCCAACATAAAAGCTGGAGCTGTGACACACATAGGTAGTTACTTCACTGCTAAACCCAGAGGGGAACTGGTGTGTTAGCATCCCAGCTGATTAGAAGCACTTGTTGACCTCACCAATAGCTCTTGCACACTTTCTGTATCACAGTGTAAAAATACATATGAGTGAGCGTGAACGGGTAAACACAGAACATAAGATCAGGCTGGAAGAAAACATGGGGTGGGCTGCATGTTTTGTTTTGTTTTTTTATAAAAAACTAAAAAGGGGTGAAGAGGGTTTTATTGCTTTGGCCTGTTGTGGCAGCCGTCGGCTTGTGTTGATCTCTTCTTGCGTGGATTTAGAAGCATCAGAGTTCCACAGGACTGACGGTTAGTGAACCAGGCAGCAGGGAGAAGGTGGTTTGTTTGTTTGTTTTTTCCTGGTTTTCCCTTCTTCTTCTTGGCAGAGGCTTCAGGTTAGAACTCAAATGTGTCTTTTTGTGCAGCTGAGTCTGGTCGTCTTGGTCCCATTTGCCCGGGGAGAGGCACTCTTCGTTGTTCAAGTCCTGAGGATTTACCCCAATGTCCAGGACCTGGGGGTTAGTGCGAGACTCAGCGAGTCTGCAAAAATGAAGAGAAACAAGACATTTTTTATACAACTTTTCAGCTTTAATTAAAGCTCAAATAAAGCAAGGATGAATTGATACAAATGGTTTTATTGTCCATCCTTCATGGCTTCCAATTAATCAGAGCTTCTTATAATCTTCTGAAACTGAAAGATTATAGAAATAGTACAGGTGTGCAGATATTGCATCTAAAGCCTTGAATAATCCTTTCCACACTGTAGTTACTACTGGTTAATAGACTGGAAACAGTCGAAGTGGACTTTTATGTGCCCTGTTAAACGGATTCAAATATCATACTTTATATTATTATTGTCATAAAGCAAAATTATTATTTGTATGACTTGGTTTTCTATGATATAGTAATGGGTACAAAAATATTAATAAAATTTATTTTACTTCAGACGCTTTAGAGCCCATATCATGATGCTTTTGTTCTGGTTGCAAACTTTCAAATTGCAAAAGTAGCAACGCTTTTTTTGGCGTCTAAATCATCATGTAAGAACATCTAGTCACTGAAAATAAAAAATAAAAACTTCTAATGAAAACGTCTAACCAGAATAACATAATGGATTGTGGAGTCTCTTTGCAGACTTTTCCCAAGTTGTTGCCCTAAACATCTTATAGCATCTATATGCTGATTACACACAGCTCTATATTTATGCGAGTACAACCCTCAGTTAGTGCTTAAGATTTTTATCAGATTTTTTCCAAAAGTTTTAAAGAAAACTCAGTTTGACCAAAAAGGCTTTGATGTCATGGACCCAAAGTTTTAATATTTTAAAGAACTGAAATTTTTTAGATAGTAAGAAGCTAAAATCAGCAAACAACCGAGTTACAAAACTTAGAAAAAAAAAAGCTTTTCTGTAAAAACAGAACAAACTGAACATGCTTTTATTTTCATAAAGTTAGATTAATAACACTGTACTTATAAATCTTAGGGGAAAAAAAAAATCTGGAGTACTACTGATCAGAAATAACTTAAAATACTTTATTAATCCCAAAGGGAAATTAAATATGTAAATAAAATTTGCACAGGATAACAAAGACGACCTGTTTATGAAAGTATAGTCACAGTAAACCCTAACAATGATTGCCCAGATGAACCAATCACTGCAGAGTTCAGCTCATTACACTGAAATACATTAAGTGCCTATTTTAACTGTTAGAACTACGTGTCAAAACACCACATTTCATATTTTGTGCAACACTGATGGATGTGATGCAGAACAAGAAGAATATGGAGATGAAGATGTGGACACAGTGACTGGATGCTCCTTAAATCTACCTCATCTATGTTAAAGTGTAGACAAACATAAAGCTAAATGCTGAAAATGTTGTGGCTCAACACTGATGAGGAGACTGGAATGGTGGGATGATGGGGAGGAGATTCATGGTAACAGTTACCTGAGTAGGATTCAAAGCTATCCAGACTGCGGCTGAGGGGGGGGGCAAAGGAAACATCACAAGTCAGGCATTAATTCAGCTGACGGCTTCTCTGAACGACGTCATTTTCCACATAAAAAAAGTTTGATCTCATTGTTACAGGTTTTAACACAACAAACGAGATTTATGAATCTTTTCAAATAAGGTGCTGAAAGCTCAGACGGCCAGGGGTGGAGCTACTGTAGATGGGGGGCCAGGGATGGCCATGGCCCCCCTTATCCAATCGTTAGCCACCCCTGTGGCAACCCCTACCATTTTTTCCCTTCTAATACAGATGTTGGCAGCATTAATACTCTCAAGTGCAATATTCAAATCATTTTAATTTTCATACATTAACAAGTACTTGAAGAAAGAATAAAACACTCCTAATTAGGCAACATCAATGTACTAATATTAAAGATGATAAGTACAGAATTCATGCTCTTTTCAGAACGAGATTTTCTGTTATATGAGGAAAGAGAAAATTATGTGTCTTTGCAGACATCTAGGAGTCTTTAGTGAAATCATAGATAAATAACTATGTTAGTTAAATTGTATTAAATAATCAATGTATGTAGATATTAGTACTTGTAAATATCAATTTTATGCAGAATGATTATTGATAAAAGAAGGTAAGTAATAATGGAAAAGATGTTCGCCCAAAACTCAAACCTGAAAGAATTGTTTCCACTATACCTTTAATCTACAATGCACGGATGTTTAAATATATGCGTCTATTTGTTAGGAAAGGCTGCAGGAAAGTATAGATTGTCTTTATTTAAAGAATATGGATGTTGTGCTAGTTAATTTTCCTGATGGAACAGTGCAGATTGACCCTAAGTTTCTGGCGACGATCCACTTTCGGCCACCCCTCAGTGTACATTGGTTATTGCCTGGCCACCCTTATAAAAATGTTCTGGCTACTCTGTAGAAGCCATATAATGATCACATCTGCATCCTGTATGAAGTCAGAGGGTTTGTTGGAGAACATGAGTTAACTATTGCATCATGTCAACCACCTTTAAAGCCCCTGTCACACCTTATGCTAAACTTTATCTATTTTTTCAATTTTGGACGTATACATAGTGTATTCATAACGAGTTCAGAACTAATGTCCAAAGACAGCCTAACTTATGCATAACGCACGGCAGCGTAATGCCCGTGAAATATCACGAGTCAGTGTCCTGAGGGGGGCAGTGATGCGCCCGGAGGCACGGGGTCTGCATAAAAACGCCTACTGTTTAACGCCTGCCACAAAAAAAAGAAAGGTTTGCAGTCACAGCAGATTTAGCGTCATGTCTATTAGGACCTTGTTGGCCGTGGGCGTGAACGCAGGGAGGATCCATCACACTCACCCTATGATGGGAATGAAGTCTGGAGGAGAACTAATGGTTTCCTCCTGGGAACCCCTCTTATACTAAAACGCTGCCAATACGCCATTAAACAGTAGCTGTAAGTTAGAAACACGCTCAGGAGTCGTCTGGAACACGTCAAATACGTTGATATGCGTTGAAGATAAGTTCTTGATAAGTTATGCATAAGTTAATCATAGGTTTTGGATAAGCTAGACGCCACGACTTATGAGTAACTTACACTTAACGTATGTCAACGATCAAAGAACTTACCTGTAACTTATGGCCTGCATATGAGCCTACGCGGGCATACGTCAAGAAATATTGAGCATCCTTAACATTTTTCAACGTACTTGCTGTTGTCGACGTGTGCCAGCGTGCTTCAGTGCGCTCATAACAAAACTGACCCATAACTTATCCAAAGTATGCCAGCATTCGTCGGGCATATGCTAAATATGCTAAATCGGCAAGGTGTGACAGGGGCTTAATGCAAACGTTAGCTTATACAACACCCCAAAGCTGCAAACCTACCATAGCTGCCTACCTAAAAACACAGTCTGGGAAAGGAGATTATGTATTGTAGAAGCAGCCACCACCATTTTTGCTTCTAGTAAAGTTTTAAAATAGGCGCTTCAAGAAGTCTAGTTTAACAGTTTTCCACACAGCAAGCATGGGGAAGATGCTCTTCTGATATGATATGTTAAATTACTTTGGCCCACTTAAAATCCTGCTCAGAGTTTAGGAGGAGGTGGATCAAATTAAATATACTAGATGCATTTTGAAGGAAAGTCAGTTGGAAGCTGCTGTAGAAAATCCACCCTCCAGCAGCTTAACAACCTTAACATTCCTGCTAAATCCACAATGAGGGGAGTTTAATTAAAAAACAAGTTTGTTTTTAATTGTACAAAGATGGGGGAGAGAGAACCTGGACCACTCAGCACTGTTAATGCAGGAAAAGGAGGGTTGCCACACTTTTCAGATTTTCAATCCTTAACAAAATGAGGAAAAACAAAACTTTTGTTTCCATCTTACTTTACAATAAACATGATAATTCAACTTTATTAATCAAACCCTGAAGAAATGTATCTCTGCATTTGACCCATCCACTTGGGGAGCAAAGGTCTGCCACTGTGCGGCGCCTGGGGAGCAGTGTGGGGTTAAGGGTCTTGCTCAGGAACCCAGAGTGGAGGCTGTAGGGATCGAATCAGGTATTTGCAACCAACACACTGCTCCAACCACTAGGCCAACAGTCCCAACTAGGTGCTACTTAGCATTGGACTACTGTGCTTCTGTTTTTAAAGAGAAAAACAGTAAAAAAAAAAAAAAGTTTAATGCTTTTATGCTGGTGCAGGGTTAAAATTCAAACAAAACAATCCAATGGACTTTGTTTCCAAGTTTTAAGACTTTTTGCCTCCCATCTACAGCATTCTTTTTCCTTTTGTAGGCAACTTCATTCATTTATATAAAAAAAAAAAAAAAAGTGCACACAATCAACCAGCAGATGGCAGCAAAGACTTAAAATTCTTCACTACTGGCTTGTGAATGGATTTCCACAGAAGTAAACAAATATCCTCCTAATTAACCTCTCCAAAAGTCCAAATCGATGGACCAACAACCTGCGTTTAATCCTTCACCCGGGTCTTAGCTCAGCATCAACATATTCAGTCTATGTACCGCAACTCGGCCCGGCGTGCAGCTTCATCTCTGCCCACACTGTGAGCGCCCTCATTAATCAAGGAGCCGGAGAATAACGGCGTCACGTCGTAATTACAGTGTGTGCAGACAAATAATCATCTGATAACGGGTCTGGAATGGAGCCTGTTAACAAACACTGAGGATCTAATTCTCTTTAGCAGGACAAGAAGGAAATAAAAACCCTAATATTAAAAACAAATACATTGCAGAATCAGAGCGCTCATTAAAAACAGAAAGCTGGTAGGTTTACTACAGTGTAATCTGAGTCTTTCTCTGCAGCTACTTCAGGGTTATTTAACCGGAAGCTGAGTATCAGATGATTTCTCAATAGGAAATCACTGTAAGGGCCTGAAATAGAGCCGACAAAAACAGGGTGAGGTCAGACATCAGCATCAGCCCATAAACAGAGCTACTCTCTCCTCCCTGCTGGAGGTGAACTGAGCTGCATTTTATTATTTTGTCAGGCAAGCCCAAACTGAACCCTGCCTCTCCCTGAATAGAAGCCTTTGTTCCCAGTTAGTCCTCACTTTTATGAAACCCTCTAAATTTCTCGGCTCTCCTCACCTTGAAAACGCTTCGTCCAAACCGTCCTCCAGTTCCTGCCAGACACAAAACACACAGACGTTAGAGGAATATACGGTAAAACATGCGTACAGGCAGGACTAGCCTTCATCCCTCTTATCAAAGCCCCACACCCTCTTCTGCCATGTATGCATAAGATAAGGCCAGTTCTGTTCAATAGGCTATTGTCCACCTCAGTAGGGCTACACGTGCAGAAAATCACTCGGTAGCATTTCATCAGAATATTTCTCTTCTTCTTATCGAGCCAGAGCAGCTGAGAAGTGCCGGCCGATGCTACTTTTGTCTTACCCAAACGGTATTGTTGTTCTCTGCCGCGTGATTATGCACCGCAAAGGGATCCGATTCTGTCTGCTTTGTTCCTGAGTGGGTCTGTGCTGCTTTGGCTCCCTCTGCCAACTCCAGGAGAGTCCCAGTGGCTACATCTGCAAACACAGAACATGCCAGGTTTACTCAAAGCGATTAGGGGCAGGGATCCCACATAGAGCCGATATTAGAAGCAGGCCTTTATGAATCAGTAAAGCAGAAATGAAACTCAGCTCAACCATCTGTGGATTGTGGGCTGCAGAAGGTAACCACCTGCCTTTCCTATCTGACTTTTAGGATGACGTTAGTCCGTAATGGCCAGAGGTGTCAAGAAACAAAGTGCAATTACTTTGTTACCTTATTTACGGCAGTAGGCATTCAAAATTTCACCACTTTCCTTGATGGGCCCTTGGCTGGTCTCCTAAAATTCCTTTTTAAACATCAATCTTTGTATAAAATATTCTTTCTGTCATGACTTTTGGACATTAAGATCTTAAGAGAAGCATAATTTCCTCGTCAGACCCTGTAATTCAGAGAAAGGGAGGAGTCAGAGTAAAACAATATGTACGCCCAGGAGAAGGTCCAGTGGCTGGAAGTTGGAGGGGATTTCGCTGGAAGCTGCAGGGAAGTGGGCTGCCATTCTGTGGCGTTTGACTGGGAAGGACTATTCTTAAGGGCTGCTATTGTAAGTAGAAATTTTACTAGAGTAATTATTTTTTAGATGACCGTTTACTTCTCCTTTCATTTTTTTTTAACAATTATCTCTACTTTATACACTTTACATTTTAAAAATAGACAAGTTAGGTTTGTTTCAGTTAAGCTCATTTTCGTTATGACCTGCTGGTATTTAAAAATAAATGAAAATCATCATAATAAATTGCTTCATTCGGACATTAATTCATTTGTGGTTAGACTCCAAAATAAATGGTTTTTCAAGGTGATGCAAAGTTAAATTTACCATTAGTTATAAAACTAAGAAAATAAAGAATAAGGAAGTTTTCATCCAGAATTGTAGAAAAATGTTCCTTTAATAGGGTAATGCAGTAAAGCTTCTGTCCTTAATTACCTGCATTAGTTTTACTTTTACACTTTAAAACTGATACAAGCTTAAGTAGATCCTCTAACTTCTACAAATATGTTTTTAAACATTAGGATTTGTACTTCTACTTGATTAATAAACATTAAGACCTCTGACACCTCTGGTAATGGCACACCCGGTGATTAATGTGTATGAACACTAATCTTGCTCCAGTAATAATGCATAGATCAGGGTTGGTTTTTAATATCCGCACCAACTAAATCCAATATGAGAGGCAATCTGCCCTGCGGGAATATCTGCTAATCCTTTTCACTGCCAGACTACATGGTGACTTACAAAAAATTAACTTCACAGATTGACTTCATTCTGTTGCAGTGTTTTAGAGTCAATATCAGTAATGCACACATTTCCTTCTTTGCAACCATCCCAGTGCAAAATGGAAACAATGAAGATTCCTTCACCAAATTTCACATGTTTCCAGAATAACATCTGTAGATTTTCTTGCTTTTACAACCTTGTGGACATCTGAGAAGCATTTATTGCTCCATCTGGAGATACTATTTAGCTTCATTTCATATAAGTCAAATCTGCACCAGATTAAATGGACACTCATGAAATTACAGATTTTTCTGTGTGTAAAAATCTGATATTATTTACTCTTGTGCATTATGTGCATTATGTGCCAGTTTTCCATAGTTTGCAAAGGACACACCTACATGTCTTCTGTTTACTTTGATTCTGTTCTTTTCCCAAAATCATTATTTTTCATTCGAAGTATTTTGGACGTTTTTATTTAAAAGAAATCAATCAATAAGGTGAAGGAGGAAAAAAAAAAAAGTCTGATTCTGATGTTTCTGAAGTTTCTGGTATCTGAGAGAAATTATCCCCGTATTCCAATTTCTATACGAAATATTATATTGAAAGGAAAAAAAAATTATCCTTAAACGGATACAAAGCTTGACATTCAGCTGTATGTCGAGGCAGAGATTTAGTTAGAAAGAAGATACTCCAGCGGGAGCAATCCCCCGGCGATTAGGCATAAACAGGATGTGCGATAAATCCGAGCCAGAGTGAGGGACACTGCACCAAGTGAGAGTTGAAGGTATCATGTCACATCAATAAAGCTGACTCACCTTTCAGCGGCGCCGCTGTTATTTGATCAGCCACAGGGAACGGTACCAATGTAAAAGCTCTGCATTCCCCAACCTCAATTTCAGAGGATTGCTTTGCCTATTTTCCAGCAATCACTCAAAAGCTTCTTGCTACAGTACAATTATGTCAATTTGCCTTGAGAAAATTCCTTTCCTCTGGCAACCGGGTGACCAGACAAGTCTAAATGTGTTGACGCAGGGCCTCTGCCTTTAACTGAAAAAAAAAAAAAGCAAGTTCAAGGTTTGCTTCTCGAGGGATCATCCCAAAAAATCTCCACGTGTCGTGAAACGTTTCACATTTAGGGCCACATGTAGTGTCAGCAGGGATTTAACACAGAGATGTCTCTCTGGCTGGAGCCCAGATGGCTGAGCGGAGGATGCAGCTCGGAATCGGAATCTAGATAAGTCATTTTTTCTTAAAATAAGTGCATTTTTCTTGGATTGAGGAGGTAAAAGAGACGTTTTGCTAATGGAGCAAGACACTTTACACTTAAAATAAGAAAACACAATTGCATTTTCTTATTTCAAGTGCATATTATCTAATTATCTAATTTTAAGAGTAAAAATACTCATTCCATTGGCAAACCATATCATTTATCTACTCAAATTAAGAGAAAACACACTTCATTTTTGCCGTGCAGTTCAGATAAATACAAACTCCATCATCTTAATCTGGATCAGTAGATGTCTACATTAGGGCTGCATCTAATTCAGATCAAACATGCTCAGTTTTTTCTTTTTAAACAGATAATAGCTCTCTTACCGTCATGAGACTGAGGTGGGATTTATTCCAGTGGCCTTTGATGTTTTCACGTTACAGAAGCGATTATCATCAAAACATGATCACCTTAAACTGTCACTTCCTGTTCAGATTAATGACGTTTTACCGTGAGAATCCAACTGACCTCCGGCTTGGATGTAGGTCAACATTTTTACCGAGCGGCTGAACAACTCCCCCCCACCCCAGAGGACGTGAATGCTGTGACAGGGAGGGTGAGAAAGAAGCGATGATGGGCGAAAAAAAACCACCTCCTCCCTTCGAGCTGCCCAGGCTGGTGGAGCTGTCCGACTGAGAGCTGCTGGCTCCTTCCACGTCCGAGTTGGGTTTTACTCGCTTCTCTTTCTCTGTGAACAAGAAGGAGAAGTCAGTGAAGGTCAAAAAAAAAAAAAAGATCAGGACTTTTACTGCTTCCTTTACACTTAAAAAAATAAAATGCATATCCAGTGAATCTTTTTTCTCCCAAATTTTAGACTTGTGAAACTTCATCATGCATATGCTTCGAAACTGTACCCTACTTTTTTAGCTTTATCCCTATTAAATACATAAAAGTTTGTGGTAATAATGTGAGAAAATAAAGAAATGCTTTAAGGGAATGAATACTTTTGCAAAAATGCACAACAGCATTGTGCATTGAGCAACTTGAGCCTCCAGCAGAGGTCGCACCCACTGCCTCTGCTGAGTATACAGACGTTTCAGTACATGTGGTCAGAGGTTAGGACACAGGTGGCAAACTGGTTCCAGAAAGAGCCGTGTGGCTGCAGGTTTTCTTTCCAACCAAGCAATGGCACACTAGACTCCATTCATCTCATCAAGTCATCATGTTCAGATTGGACTCACTTGATGAGATGAATGGAGTCTGGTGTGCCATTGCTTGGTTGGAAAGAAAACCTGCAGCCACACGGCTCTTTCTGGAACCAGTTTGCCACCCCTGGGTTAGGAAATCTTAGTTGCGGTATCCTGATGAGACGTCTGTAGGTTAAGTGCTAAACACCAACACTTAGAACTGACAGCAGTCCCCAGACTTCCTGGACGGCTACCGTTACACCTCATGTTGCAAAGCAGCTTAAGGTCTGGATTATCACCATTCTACACAATGCCTGGCATGAATGGCACCAAAGTTGAGCAGAGGTTGAGACTTTTCTCCCAGAGGACAAAGGACTATTCATAGCACCAAGCTGGACAATGCATTTGCACTACACTCCACCGTGCTGACTTCATGATGGATTATGTATTGTTTTTCTCCTACAGTCTGGTGGGGACATCTAAAGGGCAAACAATATGGCAGCAGCAGCAGCTGTGTTTAAGGGTGAAAGGTTAGATTTTCAACTGATACAGTTTGATGTTTTTTTTTTAGTTGTTGTTGATGAGTGGAAAACATTGAGCAATCAAATGCCATCTATGCTGCGCATGTTTGCAACGGTTGTAGAATTGAACAAAGTGCATCCAAAATACTGCAGCAATGAGTCAATAGTACAGTAACTGATGTTGCAATGGGAGCTTAATCTCTGCACTGGTACAGATTCACTTATCTCAGCCTCCCGGATGCCTAAACTTAAAGTGAAACTGACAGCAGGACCTACTTTCTGATTCATTTGGCTGAATATTATATACTACTTAAGGGGATGTGATACAGAGACCAATCCGACCTGTGTTCCTTTGCCACATGTCTCTCCCCCTCTCTCATACAGCTTTTCCTGTCAGCCTACTGTCAGAAAAACGGGCCACTGGTGCCATAAATTAAAAAATAAAAAATATCCAAAAGTTCAACTGAACATGTGAAAAATATAAAAGTCGAATACTCTGCCTAAGACGATTTACGACAGAAAAACATCAAAAGCGGCACATACTTCAAAGATGCAATTGAACCTGCTGTCCCCATTGATCTATATTTATTCTCTGGATAACCGATAGGCCGAAAACTTGACGTCACTTGCCACCATCTTGATCCTCCCTACTCTTAAGGAGCCGCACCATAAACATGCCGAAGTCCGTAGCATTTAGCTGCAACAATAAGCATTTTTCTGGCTCTGGGAATATATTTCACAGGTAATTCAGTAAATGTACTAATAGTATTATACTGATGAAAAAAACTGCTTTGAAGTTTATATTCTAAATATCTAAGTACAGTATTTTTATGCTCCATTAACACACTAACTTTGTTGCGATGGATTTGTATAATATGTTATATTACATGATTTATAGACTTCATACTGACTATGCAATGTCATTTCTTAAGCGCCCCTAAAAATGAGAAAATCATCATTGCTCGATGCTTTAGTGCACACATTTTTTACATTCCGACTAGACGGAAGCTATGGAGTACCAATATGGCGGCTTTCGACCTCATAGCAATGTGTACTAGCAACGGATATTTAGGGAATAAACAGAGATCAGTCCCCCCACCCCAAAAAAGAAATAAAAATTTTAAACAGCTTATTTTGAATTTTATTTTAGACTTTCTTTTATTAATATTATCTGTTTTATTAGCTGAAAATGTCTGTATTTTCACATATACATCTAAATATAGTTGTTTTTGAGTTTACAAGTTTATATACCTTCCATTAAAGACAGAAAACATTCAGGTGCTGGTAAAATAAGTTGAGATTGACAAAAGCAATTATAAAATAATAAAGAAATTATTGAAATTATATATGCATATAAATATGTATATATTATATAGTAAATATATACGGCTGGATTGATGTTTAATGATTTTACAGCCTGTTTATTCTAATGCTTTTACAATGTAAGGGACTTTTGCTGCTAGAATGTGATACAAAAAATAGATTTTTACTTCTTTTACTTATTACTGAAGCAGATCCTTACGTTTTTAGACAAATCAAAAAAAAGGAAAAACTTTTGTTCTTTATATCCTAAAAAATTACAGGTATAACAAAGGCTGTGTCCGAACGTTTACGCCATATCCCTTTATAGGGCGGGGACTCTATAGTGAACTCAGTTAACTGACCGTTGGGAGAGATGATCACTATCCGTTGGTCAGGCGTGTCTGCCTGCACAATGCCTTTGGTATCTTTATTTGTCAAGTAGAGCTCTCCCAAAGCATTCTGGGATATATATGCTCTTCTAATGACCATGAATGCTTTTCAAGGTTCATTGTGGGAAATTTCTAGTCCACTATTTTTTCATTCACTAGACGTTCTGACACTCATCTAAAATAGCATAACTACTATAAAGTGCCCTATATAGTAATTAGGGCGGACACTCGGACACACCCAATGTTTATTTATCCTCAAATCTTATCGGTCCTGCAGCATTAGCAGCCTTCAGTTTCACACCTAAGTGAGTCGTTCTCATTTTATAGCAGTTTTTGTTCAACGCAACGAACCAAAGCAGCAGTGTAAGCCATCAGCAGTTCTGCACCCAATTTAAAGGAATAGTACACCCAAAACATGATTAGCCTTCATTTTCTACTCACCTCCATGCTGAACAACACTCTGGAGTACTTTTTTGATATCTCAAATGCATCTGGAGATCTGGGAGACTTCTTGCTGTCTGCTGACATTCAAATAATGGAGGTCTATGGCGCCCGAGACAGAAAGGTCCACAAAAGTCCACAAAAACTTGTCAATATTCCTCCATACTGCTCGTCCAATGTAATCCAAGTGTCCTGAGTGGGTAGCATCCAGAATTTACTCGAAACGAAGTCATTTAGAACGTTTTAGAGCCTAAACAGTAGTGTATAGGATTTCCTAATAGCGCCCCCATGCGCGCTCACGATTCTACGGAAGCCGGCAGACCAAACCAGCGCATTCAGCTCGGCAAAGAACTCATGCTCTTCCTCAACACTGAAGTCCTCAGACATTTTTCTTTCGTTGTTTCTTTCTTTGCACAGGTAAACAGCACATTTCTTCTTCTACGCTTGCATTATCGGCAGACCAGACGCTGAATGCGCACTTCCTTCCGGTTTGGTCTGCCGGCTTCCGTAGAATCGTGAGCGCGCATGGGGGCGCTATTAGGAAATCCTATACACTACTGTTTATGCTCTAAAAACATTCTAAATGACTTCGTTTCGAGTAAATTCTGGATGCTACCCACTCAGGACACTTGGATTACATTGGACGAGCAGTATGGAGGAATATTGACACGTTTTTGTGGACTTTTATGGACCTTTCTGTCTCGGGCGCCATGGACCTCCATTATTTGAATGTCAGCAGACAGCAAGAAGCCTCCCAGATCTCCAGATGCATTTGAGATATCAAAAAAGTACTCCAGAGTGTTGTTCAGCATGGAGGTGAGTAGAAAATGAAGGCTAATCATGTTTTGGGTGTACTATTCCTTTAAGCACTAATGGTTGCTAATAATGACGAAGTGATTGCTGGAGATCAAACTGGTGGTTTTCAACCAGCAGGGCGCATCTTCGAGGATATGGAAACCCAGATTTATATTAGATAATTCATGAGAAGTTATTTATTTATTCTAGAGGCCTGAATCTAGAGTCATTTTTCACTAATTTGCAGCTTAGCATTACTGTATTCTAACGCCTAATGGAGTTTAAAATACTACATTTTGAGAAAAAAAAAAGTCCCAGCTCACCACTGTTCTTAGAAGCATTTAGTTTCACACCACCTAAGTGAGCACTTTTATAGCAGTTACACAGTTCTCTATTGATATTAGTCATGCAAGCTGTCTGGGTCAAATTACCGGAAACAAGCTCTTAGCATGAAGACAGACACTGTCTCCAAGTTCAAACTCGATGAAGACTTCTGTAAGGTTGTTAATTTTATTTTTTACTGGTCAGAAATAGTTTTTGTGGTTCATAGCCTGAGTGTTTTTTTTCTCTTAACAGGCTGTGATTGTTTGCTTACAGTAGCTATAAGCCCTGCAAGGCTACAGCGGGGAAATTTATTTATTTATTTAATAACCACCCGTCATTTATTAGAAAATAAAAAAATTCCCCTGAGTCACTGTAACTTAGCAATGATAACACATAACAAGTTCCCCCAGAGGCCTTAAAGCTCCCTTCCTGCTGCACTAAACATGAAGCTGCTGTAAACACTGTCTCCAGCCTGCTGTAATGTTTATAGAGAATATTCTATCAGCACGGCTTTGAGAACAAAGTTGGGAGATGTAATATACGGAGGAATGTGGGTCAAGCATGAGCGTTGTCCTGAGGAGAACCACAGTGGGTGGTGCAGGAGGAGAAAACCAGACGGTGGATCTCATCTTCCTCCCCGTCTTAATCCTTAGGGGTCCAGACTCAAAGGACTGCTTCAGGGCTCCGTTTATCAAGAAACTTTAATTGCAATAGACTGATTTTACTTCCCCTATGTTTGGAGGATGAAATGGGAGAAAATTTGAGACATTTTGCGTGTGAAATAGTTAAAAGTTTGCATTAAATTCTCCTTTTTTTTTCAAACATTTAGACGAAAATAAAACACCAGACGAGAAGGAAATTGAGGAACCCCTGGCCCTGATGTAAACAAACCATTAAAAAAAACATTATATTAATAAAAATGTACTAAAATCAACACATCAGAAGACAAGCTGGTAGAAATGTTGCTTTTCCTTCAAAGCAGACGCGCCTCTCTGAAAGAAACGCATAAATAAGCGTTCATGTGTGACGGGAACCATGGGACTGACATTCAATGTGTCATGGAGCTGAGCTTCTACTCACACAAACATACAATTATTTGACTTTCTCTCAACGGACCTCGTGCAACACCCTTTTCGCATTTCGCTACCCAGGATGAGGACCGACAACAGGAACTCCCCAATAATCACTGAACTCAGAAGACCAACACGGTAACATACATGCCAAAAAAAATCAGTAAAGTGAGGGGTGTGGCCGCTGAAACGAAATGCTCACATACACATCAGAGTCAACCAGTAAATTACACACAGGCTCTGCTAGGCTTCAGGAAAAGGACTGAGCTGCTGCTTTTAGCCAAACTCCAACTGCCTGCTGCTTAATATGAAAGCTCCAGCTAGACAGACATAAAACATGCATGAATGTACGAGGAGGAGGATCAATGTTTTTTATATCCAGATCTGAATGTCACCTCTACAAAGTGGTTGAAAGCTTTTATTCTGACATTTTAACAGGTAAAAACAAAGAGACTGTCTAATTTTTTAAAGGTTTTTTTTTGTTTTTACAGCACTAGTGGCTCTGGACAGTAGGCTGACGGGAAAAAGCGGTATGAGAGAGGGGGAGAAACATGCGGCAAAGGACCTCAGGTCGGATTCCAACCCGGGTCGGCTGCTTCGAGGACTAAGGCCTCCATACATGGGTCGTGTCCGCAAACCACTGCGCCACCAAAGGACACCCAGGGTTTTAAAATTTTAAACATTAGTTAGAAAGATAATTCAGAGACCACCCTGACAGATCATTAATGCTGGATATTCCTCGTTAAAAACTCTAAAAGCTGGCCCATTAAGTAAAATCCTGATGGTTAAAGGGCTTTAAAAGGTTGAAAGAAGAACACTTCTCTATAAAAAAAAATAATGTATTGGGACCGCTCATCAGGGACCCGTTAACCATTTGTTTACCGTTTTAAACTATTGGTTTAGTAACTTGGAGCAATTAGTGGAAATAGGCTAGCAGAGGCCGGGTAGGACGTCTGTGGGATAAGCAGCCTTTACTTTGAGGAGTGGAAGCCTTACTGCAAGAAGGAAACATGAACCCTGAGAGGAATCATTTTAAAGCCAAACTGAATCAGCTACTAAAGGAGGACAGGATTAATGCCTCCATTTCCTGCTTTGATAGTAATGCATTTTGTTGTTCTTGTCTTTAATTTGCTTTTTAAAAACCCAGTATTGAAAATGCTCGAGTGAGAGCTGGCATCTTAAATCAGCTTAAACTTTGAAATGTTAAGTATGCTGTCTAAAAAAAACTGAACTATTATATAAAATAAAAACAATGTTGTCTGACACCAACTCATTCCAACTGTTCAGCACGGTGGTGAAGGGGGGATGCTTAGGGCTTACTTTCTGCCCCTGGAACAAGTCTGTATCCAAATCAATCTAGAGACAAAGATGAGGCTGTGTTTTTAACAGCTGAAGCTGAGCTTAAACTGAGATTATTACGGCAGAAACAACAGAACGGCTAAAACAATAGAAAACTAACTAAAACAACTGGAAACCAGGCGTTAACCTCAATGAAATGCTGAGGTTGGGGCTCTGAAGACACTCGTGCATTTACACAGGCCTGCAAAAATCAGTGAACTGAAGCAAATGCAATACGATAAATGTATCTGAATGAGAACCTGGTAAAGATAAACACTAATAGGATTTTCAGAACCATTGTGAAATAGTTTCCTTTCAATAGCTCATGCAGAAGAGCAATCAAACCAATGCAGAGAGTTTTATTTAGGCTACAAACCACTGAGCAACAAATAAACAAACCCTTAGAGCTGAATAGAATCTTGACATTTTAGCACTTGCATTGCTCTGGTTTTAATGCACAAGAGACAACAGCTTAAATCAGGAAGTTTGATCCGTGAATGTCTTTCCATACTTTCCATACTTTTTAAATTTTAGTCCAGACCTAATCATAGCCTAAATGACTCTCTGTTCTATGGTTAACTAGTCTCCAAGTTTTTCCGAGTTGACATGATATCTCTGCTTCTGTCTCCTTGAACCCCAGTTGGCCTCGGCAGATGGCCGCTCACACTGAGTCTGGTTCTGCTGATGGTTTCTTCCTGTTAAAAGGGAGTTTTCATCTCCACTGTCGCTACAAGCATGCTTAGTGTGAGGGATTGCATTCGAGTCAATGAATCGATACAATCAACTGGTTTTCCTTAGATAGAAAACTTTGAATCAATTGGGCAGGATGATCTGGTTGAACTATAAAGTGTCTTAAGATGACGTGTGTCGTGAATTGGCGCTATAGAAATAAACTGAATTGAATAACCTCTGGATAAAGAAGGAGATGTGCCCCTAATGAAGGGTTTTTCACTCATCTATCATTAGGAAGTTGTCGAGGGCAACCATACGTACCTTCCTTGGTGGCTTGCCAGAACTCAAACGCCACTCTGAAAGCCTGAGCCACTGTCAGAGTGACGGCCTGCGCCTGTTAGGACAGACAGAGGTCAGTCGGGGAGGAATAACACAGCAGGCATCTCATCAACAGCGTGGGAGCGGCCATTCTGACACAAATAAAGGAGGCTTCATCTGAGATACTTGAAGAGAGGGAAGAGAAAGCAGCAGATTCCAAGATCAGTTGTTTGTGAGACTGGGAGGATATGTGGCCTTTTTCTCCACGGCTAAATTAGTGAGAGGAAGGAAGAAGAGGGAGTGGTGCCGTCATTCAGAAAACCTCCAGGGATGTGAGAAGGCCAAGAGGAGTGTCACAGCCTCCTCCACCTTCTTCTGACTCCACACTTACTGCTTTGCATGGTGAAAATCTAAGTATCAGTATGTAGCAGTGGAGGAGTGTTATCTATGCTGGCAGCTAGAATGTTCTCCTCTTAGTGTTTATGACTCATTTCCTTTTCTCATGCTTGACATGTTAACGTTTCTGAGTGCTCCCACCCATAGAGGCCTTAAAGGCAAGCTTGGTTACTTTCAGGGAAAAGGTTTTAGTCTTAAACAAAACAAAAGCAACATAATCATAGGCTCTAGTACAGGTGTAAACAATTGAAAATTAGCTGGGTCTGAATAAAGAAAATCATAAATATTTAACAGAATTTAACACTGAAATAAAATACAGGTGTTTATGCAGAGACGTAGGCTCTGAGGAGCCTTACATTTTTGGTGCAGCCATGGACGAAATTTTGATTTCAGAAGTGGGGGGGGACCTATATTTTGATATAAAGATGGTGGACCAATCAGGAGCTTGTGGGCGGTCTAAAGGGAAGCAGGCTTCAGCTTGGGCTGTGGTTTTCCACTTGGTCCTAGTGCTCGGCGAATGTCTGTGTACTGTAGCGTAACGTTGTTTTTGGACAGGAAAATGTGCAGGAGACCAAAACGCACGTTTGAAAAACTGCAGGGGATATGCCCTCCCTCGTTCCCTCCCAAATTACGTCCATGGGTGCAGCAATATAATGGAAATTCTGTGTTCATTTTCCAGCAGGACTTCAACCCCTGGCAACAGCGTCATAAGTACCAATACTTGCTTTAATCCTGGTTATATCATTGCACTTGATAGGGAAAAAAACTGAGCTTCTGAGTACATATACTGCATAGTAATTGGAGTTTTTTTATATATTTATTTTCATTTTATTTGTTTTAAGCAGGATTTGAATTCTCAGAGAAACTGGACTCTTAATTCTTAAGTTTTCCTAATATGTTCTCAATAAATGTAACAGTAATAAACACTTGGAAACACAGAGAAATGATTCAGAGAATTGACTTACTGACATTAATTAATTTTTCACGTTCTGATTTACTGAGATGAGCTTGTTCTGCTGCAACATGCTGGACTGGAACAGGGTGTTGTTCAAGCACAGACCTAAATGCTCACCATTTTTCTCTTTGAGCAGAGGTAGGCGTGGCACTCGAGGGTCTCGTTGTGCTGGTTCTGGACGATGTAGGCAAACACTTTGTCGTGCATCTTGTCGGCAGTGCAATACGATATTCTGACAAACAGATGCACACATGCAAACACTTTAATACAATTACAGAGGTTGGACATCATCTGAACCAGCAACATTTATGAGGTCATAGTTTTTGGATCAGACCTTGTTTTTTTAACAGTACAAGAACATGCACATAGAGGTGCAGGAGACGTTTTTTAATATTATTGGGGAAGTGGATGTGCCCTTTCTACATCATGTGAGGGTAATCAGGTCTGCTCATCAGCCCCAGGTGCAGACTCGGCTTTTAAATCAAGAAATAATGGCTGACAAATAGCTTTTCTCCATCATTTCAGCATGATATCAAAGCCATGAGCTCAGTGCCAGGGCCAGCATAACAAGAAGGATCTCTATAAACCTCTGCCCTCTCTCTGCACTTCTTGTTCTGACAGCCACTGTGCGGCGAATCCTGGAGGGTATCAACCAACAAAATGAGAGGGATCTGAGATGTGGTCTGAGCAACATGATTTACAGCTGATCTTTAAGTTGGACGGCGCTAGGGAGACTGGAAATAACAAGAAACTATTATTTTTCGAGTAAACGTTTAAAGAGCAACACTGCAGTCGACTCTGAGCAGCTGTTTTAGGTTTCTACACAATGAAGGAGTCACCGCTGGACACACCCCTAACGCAATCTGATATGAATTGCATTTAAAAAGAACTGCATTTCTGAGCAAATGCATAGTTTGGTCACTTGGAAAATTACCAGCTTCCATTGTAGGTAAAGGATTTTCAGGGTAGAGGCTCACAGGTGGGAAAAAACAGGATGTAATTATTGTTTTTTTGGCCAAATTCTGATCTGCTGTTAGATTTAGTAATATTCTCTCTAAAAATTAGATAATATAAATAGTCTTTAGTATCTCATATTAGCAAATAAAGCGGTTAGCATTACTAATGCATGTTGTAAACATTATTTTATGACTTGGAAAAAAATAAAACTGAACATCTTTGCAATACTCCGTTCAGCCTGTTATATTTTTCAAACATTGCTTTCCCTAACAGCCTGAATTATCTGTCACTGACAGGAAGGGGGCATTCAATGAACAGAAATTGGTTTTATCAGTTAGCGATAAGGCAAGTTACTAACTAGCTTGATAAAGTTTGATAAAGCTTTTAGTTAGAGTGGGTCAGGTTATCCTGAACTATCTCTATAGTTATGCTGCTATAGGCTTAGACTTCTGGAGGACATAGGGACCCCTATTTCATCATTCTGTCTTATTCTCCCACTCTGCAGAATCTGTTATTCCAATCTCTAACGTTCTGCTCTCTCTGCTTTTTCTCATAGTAGCTTCATCTGGTCTGTTCCTGTTTGGCTGTGACTCCATCCTGGAGAGAAATATCAGCTGTGCTGCTGCCATCAACACCTTTGTTTATACCATAAAAATTCAAAAAATATCCACTGGACTCGGTTTCCAAGATTTGAAGACGTTTCGCCACCTCTCCAGGAAGCTTTCTCAATTCAAAAGTCCAATGTGAGAAAGCTTCCTGGAGAGGTGGCGAAACGTCTTCAAATCTTGGAAACCAAGTCCAGTGGATATTTTTTGAATTTTTACGGAATGACTATGACCTGGATGACTGAGAACCTTCATCAGCACACCCTTGTTTATAGATGCTGTAGATCAGCTGTTTTCCAGTCTAGTCCTGTTTCTCTGACTGTGACTAATTGGATGTGCTCTCTTCATCCTCTGACATGGGAGCTGGCTCTGAGCTCGTCAGCCTGGCTGTGTGTTTTCTGGATGGGGCCGCCTTTCACAGTTGACATTTGTTTCTCTGCTTCTGTCTCCTTGAACCCCAGTCAGCCTCTGCAGATGGCCGCTCACACTGAGCCTGATTCTGCTGGAGGTTTCTTCCTGTTAAAAGGGAGTTTTTCCTCTCCACTGTCGCTACAACCATGCTTAGTGTGAGGGATTACCTTGGAGTTAATGAGTCGATGCAATCAACTGGTTTTCCTTAGATAGAAAATCCATCAATCAATTTGACTGGATGATCTGGCTGAATTGTAAAGTGCCTTGAGGTAGAATGTACTGTGAATTGGGGCTATATAAATAAACAGAATTGAATGGTGAAGGGAAAATAAAGCACCCCATCCTAGTCGGCAAACTATTGTTGTACTTTTCAGATAAAAAAAAAAAAAACTTATACCAAACCTCATAATTCTTATAATGAAAAACATCAGAAAACGAAACTAAAACAGAGTAAGCAGGGACATTCTCAGAAAAAATAAGGATTAGTGCCATATTTTCTTGATCTGTAGCCTCATAAAAGTGGATTTAGTTAGAAGTTGTTGCAGCCAAGCTCCTCAGTTCATAAACCAGACCTACAGGCTGAGGCAGGTGAGTTTTTAACAAGAAAAGACAGATGTGGTCCTCTGTGACACCTGGGGTGAAAGTTCAGACCTACAGCTGCTGCAGCTCCAGAGGGAGTTAAAAAAAAAACAGCTGGGAGGGAAACTATTCATCCTCTTTACGCAGATATACCACACAGCCAGCGAGTGATTAATGGCAGCCAGACGGGAAGAAGAGCTCTGCTTTAGTACAGGGTGATCGGGTCACAGGATAGCTGACCTGTATATGGAGACATTTTCTATCAGCTGGTTTGAGGCACTGTCGTAAAGGATGATTCCACGCGGCGAGACCGTTAGCGTGACTTTCTGGAGCTTCTTCCCACTGGCTTTGGCCTGCAAACAAGACAGCGAGGAGACGGGGGAAAGGGTGGATTTAACAGAGGAGACAATAGAGGGTGTGAGAGCGAGAGAACAACATAAATCTGCATCTCTATGATTCAAATCCGGAGGAGCTAATTGGTGGAAAACCACCACAGAGATGAACTAAACCTGCCGGATTTCATCAAGCCTTTCATAATGATTGGACATTTAAGAGGCAAAACAAATGTTACAGAGAGAAGAAGGAGTGACTGACTGCGGCAGCTTTTCCATTCTCACATCCCTTGTTATAAACTAGACCTCACCGATAAACAAAAAGTCTTTTCTGTCCTATTATAACAAATGGAAATGTTTTTTTTATCAGAACCAGATATTCTAGTTAAGTCCAGCTGGGTCTGGTGCAGAACAAAGCAGAACAATATCATTTACATTCAGTCCTACTATGGATTATTGTGTAAACTTTCACTTATTTCTTTTTTTAAATTCAAACAATTGATCTCTTTTTATTATAATCCTTTATCTGAATTCTTTTTTGGCTCTATTTTCTTTTATTTCACCCATGTGCAGCATTTTATCTGGACACTGATATCTGCTATAGAAATGAACTTCCATCATGTCCATGGATGGTTCTCTACAGGGGCCAACGGGGCCCAGTGCCCCTGTAGATGATGTCCTGGCCCCTGTTATGGCCCCTGCGCTGAAGACATAATACTATAAGAAATTCTAATGATATGTGCTGAACAGACATGGTTACTGATAGGTCCTTTGGATTTATTTTATTTTTTTCTATACAAATTCTGTTTTACATATTATTAAAAAACAATAAGGTGATGAATTCAGTGGTATTGAGATAAGATCCCAGTTTTCATCTGCTAAATGATTTTTTCGAAAAAAAAAAAAATTTTAAATACTAAAATTTTTACAGTTGAATTTATCAGTTTTTCTTGAGTTCTAATTCAGATTTTATAGAAAATTTAAATTTTAAATTCAATCAAAAATATGTAAAATTCCTAAATTATGAATGCATATTGACATAATAAGACATAGAATTTCACTTCATGCATCTTAATATATCTGATTGCCCTGTTTTTTAAAACCCTGGCTTTTCTGTGTCCCCATGAAAACACGCTGGCCCCCTCCTGGCCCCCTGGTACATTTGGTCTAGAACCACCTCTGATCATGTCCACTCTGAACTACGGTGGAAGTACGGTCATGCTGTGGGCCTTTCCCTAAATAAATAAATAACATCAAATGAAAAGCTACCTTTTTTCCAGAGAGAGATTATATAACTGTGATACTAGATGCTTTCATTTCAAGGCTTTTCACACGCTTGCCAATATGTAGGGTTTATATTAAAACCATTATGTAAAACTATTCTATAAAGCCTATAATCCCAAAGCCTAAGCTTTAGTATTCATCAAAATGTCAGAAAACATACCAGATTAGCTATAATCTGCTTTAGAAGGGACATCAGATAGCAGATTAGGTAAATCAGTTCCCTCTACATGCATAATTATCTCTTTAATAAAAATCTGAACACTGTGTGTCACTAAGTTTATTAATCTGAGCCGTCAGGTCCTGCAGAATGAAACTTTAAGACTCCACACTAATCGTCTCCTTTTTCTAAAGAGTCAACCGGAGAGGCAGAAGATGAGAATATTATCAGTGCTTGACAGAAACTCGTCTTCTGCAGGGAAGTTATATAATAGGAGGAGGTTTAGGAGCTCTTCACCGTGGCAACTATCCTCTTGACGGCGGCAGCGGAAAGCTCCTCCCCTTTGGGCTGCTCCACCATCGTCACCCCCAGGTATTTGAGGTGAAACACCATGCCCTCCACCAGGGTCTCCCTCGTGTCCGTCCAGTTCTCTGAAAGCTCTGCAGGAAAAAAAACAAAAATAGAGCATGAAAACCCCAGATCACATCCAAATAACTAAAAACCTTTCAACGAATAGCTTGGTGGCATTAATACTAGGGCTGTCCTCTCCTCATCGGATATGAAAATGGAAATCGGTCTGATATCAGCCAAAAAATGCATATCTGAATCTAAAGACTCTAAAAACGTTAGAAACCACATAGAAATACTTCACTTATGCTTTTTATTTATGTAACTCTCTGGTGAATAAGAAATTAGTCAGTTTTTCTCATACCTGATTAATATCGGTATCATTTTTGAGATGAAAAAGTTTTACTGGGAAAACCCCAGTTACCAGAAACTAGCGGCTACATTTCTGGATCTGACTGATCTTTTCTTGATCAGTTCTGATCATTAGGGAGATGAAATACAGAATAAAACTGTATTTAATGACCATATTAACTAGTCTTTAAATATTTCATCCATTTTCCGTCACGCTTCATCCCAGCTGGGGTCACGAAGGGTGCTGGTGTCCATCTCCAGCTGTCTACGGGCGAGAGGCGGGGTCCACCCTGGACAGGTCGCCAGTCCATCGCAGAGCAACACAGAGACAAACAACCATTCACACACAATCACACATATGGAGAATTTAGAGACACCAATTAACCTAACAGTCATGTTTTTGGACTATGGGACGAAGCAGGAGTACCCGGAGAGAACCCACGCATGCTCAGGGAGAACATGCAAACTCCATGCAGAAACACTCGGAATCAAACCTGGGACCTTCTTGCTGCAAGGCAGCAGTGCTACCCACTGTTCCACTGAACAGCCCTAAATACATCATAGAAAGGAAAAAAAAAAACACACACACCAGAAACCTGAACTTTGTTTGATACACTTATCTGAGCTTAATAAAGATGAGATTGAAGCATAAAGAAATAATCTCTTAATTTCTTGATTTTTTATTAGATTTAAAAACAGTTGACTTTATTGTGGAACCTTTTAGAGGTTATATCGTTTGGAACAACTCTTGTTTCTTACTAGTAATCCAAAGATTTGCTAAATTAAGGCCAGGGCAGATTAAAACTGATCTGATTAGGTAATCTGACCCTAAACATAATTTAATCTGAAAACTGTCAAAACCTTTGACACTTGGTTCAACTGGAAACGATCAGAAGATCCAAATAGTTTAGTTGAATTAACTGAAAAAAAAAAAAAAAAAAAACATTTCTTAAGGTGATGTGGATCACATGGCTTCTTCAGCTCATCCTGTTTGGATAAAACTGCTGAGTCATTAAAAATCTGGGATTTTTTTTAGATTCTTTTGCAATTAAATGTTCACAATGTTTGTTTTAAATGTTCCCTTGGCCAATAAACTCCCACTAACCTCTTTAAGCAAACACTTCATCTCCATCTCCCCTCCCTTTAGAAATCACTACTTCCCTCCAATCACTCCCTGTAATATATTTAGCAAGTAAATATCATCAGAAGCCCCGCTTGGCTCTGTTAAACCAGCAGGAAGGGGCTCCCCCAGGCTCTCCGCTTCACTGTTACGTCTGCAGCTTCTGAAGACGACTACTGCAAAGAGAGGCGAATCTTAAACGATGCTTGGAGGCAGCTCATCATGTCAAGCATGAGCGCTTGATCAGGTTTAAAAGCAAACATTTAACTGCCTTATTAAAACTAGAAACAGAACCACAAATCATTTGCTTCCACATAAAAGCTTCAAACCATGACGTTCTCTGAAGCTTAGAAAAGGTTTAAAGCCTTTTTAGGATGTTGTGTGATTGAGTGACGGGCAGAGGGAGTCCATTTGGCTTTTTTTTTTATTTTATTTTTTAACAGACAGCGCCATCCGCCTGACTGCTTGGCCTCTTGAATCAAACTTTGATTCCATGCTTTATCATTTTCACATGTATCAAGGATTCAGCTACTTAAAAGAAAGCACCTTGTCTGCCGTTTGATCCCTTTTTAAACAAAAGATGTTTAACGTTTTCTGTATGGTCCACAATATTTAGCAAAACCTTGAAACAGAAAAACAGCTACGGCTTAGCTCACATCAACAAACAGGTCCCAGTTCTTCAGCCAAGAACAAACCCAGAACACCCTCAGTAAATCAGTGAGGATCAATACACAGATCTAGAGATGGAGCGATGGGATTTTGGGTTGATTTTAGTGTTTTTATCATATGTGGCAGACATGTTCACAAGTCATTTTATGCAAGTCCAAGTCAAGTCCCAAGTCTTGAGAGCTCAAGTCCAAGTCTATTTGCGTGCTTGCTTGTTTCTCCTTGTGTTTTCATCTCCTTCACTGAGACGGTATAGCTTAAAGGTCACTATTATATCTATGGAATGATCATTATCTTGAACTGGTCAGTGACGTCAGCGTAGGGGTGTGCAAAATAATCGTCATGATGATGCATCGTGATTCTAATTTTCGTGATCTACTGCATCGATTCTTGACACCAAGTATCGATTATTAATTTTAAAAAATGCATAAATAAAATTGCATGAATGGTTGGCAAACATCAGCCAAAAACAAGTGTAATACTGCTTCCAGTTCAGTAGATGTCGCTGCGGATGTGTTGACGCACGTTGCCTTGTGTCACAAGCCTTTCCGGCTGCGGGATACTGCGCCGAGTCGTTCAAAAACGAGGAGGAGAAAATATTGCAATATTGCAATGCATCGCAATAATTCAAGTATCATGATGCATCATGATAGAATCGCATCGTGGCCTGTGAATCGTGATTCGAATCGAATCGTGGCTTCTTTGGAAATACCCACCCATGACTGTTTGACAGCCCCTCTGCCGTTTTTTTTTTTTTTTACCTCTGCTGGGTAAGGCGAGCGGTGATCAGACAAGTTAGTAAAAAAAAAACGCTTAAAAAAAATATATTGTTCACAAGTCGGAAATCGCGAATCTCGGTGGAGTCTGAAGTCCTTCAAATGCAAGTCTAAGTCGAGTCTGAAGTCATTAAATATGCGACTTAAGTGCAGCTCGAGTATGAGTCACAAACTCGAGTCCCCACCTCGGTGTGTCGTTTGGACGACATTTGCATACATTCGCTGATTTATTAGTGCATTCAGCCACGCCTTCAGATCAGGTGGAGCACATGCATTGCTGTTCCCTCCAATTGCTAACCACTAGAGTTACAACTAACCATTATTTTGCAAATCGATTAATAATCAGATAGCCAAAGTTTCCTTAAAAGAGATTTTTTACAAAATTAAACCAGGTGAAAAAAACTTTTCCACTTGATTAGTTCTGAATAGATCAGATTGACAGACGAACCCACTTTTTTAAATCTTAAATGCAAAAAGTTTCTATATATATATTTTTTTAATTTTGCTGTAATTACTTCTCTCAGTGGGTCGTTCTGTCACTTAAAAGCATGTTTTACAATCTCTACTCCAGTTAATGATTAATCGATTACTAATTCAGTTGATTATTATTTTAATAGATTCATCTGATTAATTGTTTTATGTTTTCTTTGATTTGTTATCTAATGTTTCTTTTATATTTATATAAGCTTCTGTAATATTTATTATAACTGGATCAGTTTTATCATGTAAGGAAAGAAATCTTAATATCAGCCTTAAGAATCGTCCCAAATATAAATCTGCATCACATGTCTGGGATAGGTGAGACCAGAGCTATGCAGCTACTTAGTTTAATGTACTGTAATTACAAATAACAGTCTCAGAAGCTTCAGTTTTTTTTTTTAATAAAGAATATTTAAATTGAATTTACACAACAGAATTATGTTAAAAGTTTTAAGAGCTATTTTCCTTTTAATTGTTTTGGAAATTACATTTTTCTTCTTACATTAAATCCTATAGAAGAAAATAAATGCTACATCTTTATTAATTATTTTATGTTTTTCCCCTTTTTAAAGTCTAAAAATACAAATAAACTGTTGGTTGTTTAAGATGGCAAAGGATATTTAACAAACATAATTAGTAATAGTCATGAAAACGGATTTTACTTAGATTGATGTCTAATTAATCTGCATGGGGCTTTAAAAAAACGTAAATCTCTACATCGATCAATGGATGAAAAACATCAATCCCCATCGTTATCTTCAAGATTTGTCTTCATTTCTTTATTCACGAGACTACGTGATAGAAAGGAAATGGTCAAATTATTTTGAGTCGTTTTTGTGAGTCGATATAAATGTAAATCAAGCACAAATTTAAGAGTTTTTTGTGATAAAGCAGGTGATTTATATCTTTAATGTTATGGATTGTGAAACACGTTGCAATGATGCAACCCTTTATAAAAGACTTACTCAGAAAGAGAGCAGCATTTTCTTGAGTTATGAAACAATCGGAATAATCAGCAGCCAATATAAATCTGCAGAAATAACCTTTAATTATATACAAATAAAAAAGTTAAGAATGTCTAATATTATTTCTTTTAAATTGTTCATAATACAGATTTTTTTTTTAAAGGAAAGTGGGCTCTGCTGTTTTCCCGACTTTCTAATGACATGACACCCCTCCCCTCCCCTCCCTGTTATGTGGCCCCTCAATGGATCCTCCATTATTGTTACCAGCTTTCAACAGATGGCATTTTTCACACCCTCTGATTAATGCAAGCAGTTTGCTTAAGAAAAAAAAAAACGTTAAACTGTTTCCTCAGGGTGTGATTTACATACAAATACAGACATATGGTCAGGCCTTCCTCTGGTTGTAGGAATAATACTTTATGTAAATATGGACAAAACGGTGTCATTGTACAAAAAAAGTGATTTGCTCTGAAGTGAATTCAGGGCCAGATTCACAAAGACATGAAAAATGCAGTTTTCTCACATTAAGCATCAATAAAAACCTCCTGATTATCAATAATTGGCTAAATCAATCATTAACTTAACTAGACAGATTTGTCATTTTGTTTATACAAGTGTAAAACAAAAAGAAATTTCGTTTGGAACAGCTCTCTGGACAATTTCATTTTTTTTTTAAGTGCAACCTTAAAAAATAGTAAAAAAAAAAAATATATATATATATATAAACAGTAATA